TTGAAAATTGCTTGAAAATTCCTTGAAAATTCAAAATAAGACATTGGTTTTGTTTGCTCCCTGGTCGTACCATTTTACCTTGCCTGTGGTGTAAAACGGACCATGTGACAAATTTTTGAAACTATTAGGAAACACATTTTTATTATTAGGAACTTTCTGAGAATTTTATTATATATAGTTCTTGTTGCTTATTTTATACGTGTTATGTGTTGTGATGTAGTTCAGTTGGTTTAGACAGTTATGATTACTTAAAATCAAATTGGACCTTTGTGCCCCGCCATACCCTATAGGATCAAAAATAAAAAATAGATAGAGCTATTTTTTAGAAATTTCTGAAATTTTATTATCAACCATTTAACTGTAATTGACGAGTATACCCATTGAGAAATAGCAGAATTTTGTTTATTGACGAGTATACTCGTCATGTCTATAACAAATCTTGTTTCATTGCCTATTATTTACATTACAAGTTTTTTAAAAAAAAGTTATTCTCAAATTGAGTCTTTTAAGCATATGAATTTTTCTGAGCATAAAACTGTGCACACAGTTCAATGAGCGCGCCACAGTTAACTAGTTAAAACTATTTTTGAATTAATATTTATACATTTCAAATATACTAGATAAAATAAAGTATGCTTATCTATGAGTTGTTGTAATTAATATTCATTATTTTCCTCAGATGTCACGAACAGTTGCGGACACGCGTTTCCATACCCTAATTGCACTGTGCATCGCATTGTGCATGAGCACGTGGCTTCCCGTCAATGCCTCGGCCAAGGTAAAGTGAAAGCGAATTTACAATATCGACGATCTCGAAATTATTAATAGAACTGCAGTTGGTACTGCATTCTATAATATAATCGAGAATTCAATCACAAATGCTTTCTTTGAAATTTACTATGAAGCATCTGTGGAAAATCGGAGGTCTGAGGACCGAGAGTAAAGGTATTGAAGCTTTTTCTATGAACCTCAGTTTTGGTTACCAATTTTAAGGAAATCATAACACCCTACTTTATCGCTTTCTAGCATAAAAACTTTATGAATATTTTTAATTTTTATTCTTCGTCTTGATTCTCAAAACATTACTTAAAAACTTGAAAAAAGTATAGCATAAATATTGATTGTCTTTTTTTACAGTCTTTAAAAAGTCGCATATATTTTATGCCTCTAGACCAAAATACCCTCTTTAATTATTTGTGTCCAAAATTCAAATTAATTGACAATATTCATACTTTTTATATTTATAATATTATACTAATTTATACGTTATTTATACTATTTATACTAATTGAAAGACTGTTTCCAATAAGGTTATATTTATACCTTTTTTAATAATTTATGAACATTATATACATTTTCATATTTCCGTCGGGCACTTTAAACTAGCTAGTTTTTATTTTCTCTGACTGGTTACTTATTTGAAACTAAACATTATTTAATAAATTATAGTTATAGTAATGTAGTAATATTTATTTTATCTATATTTATACTATTTATACTAATTTAGGAATTATTTCTAATGAGTCAACAATTATATTCTGAACTGGCTGGTTTTTTATTTTTATTTCTTGCTTCAACTAAATTGTTTGAAAAAATTAATTGAAAATATTTATACATAATATCAATTCTAAGATTGTTTATAATGTAAGCCTCTATTTCTTTTTATTTGTTATTGAGAAGTGAGCTATTTAAAAAACTTTATTTTTAATCTTTTGAATATATGATATGAATATTTATTATATTTTTAAATAGCATGAATATTTATATTATATATCTATTAAGAAACTAAATATCATTGGATAAATCAGCTACTACTTAGCTTTGAATATTTGTGTAACACTGACAACTAAAAACGGTTTAATGATTTAATTTCATAATTAAAATTAAATGGCAAATTTTATATTATTAATACTGAGAGTGCTCCTAATGAGGCAATATATATAAATTAGAAGTCTTTTTTTATTTGACCATATAATTTACTACTAATCTTAGTGAACTTTTACCAAATATAATAAAAATAATATAATAAATAAATGAGAATGAGTAAACGTTACCAGTACTACTTCTGCTTTAAATGAAAAAATACATTTGAGTAAGAGTAAAAATAAGTTATATAAATATTTTTTTTTTTTTTTTTTTTATTAACTCTTTTATTTACAACTGTCCAGTATAGGACATCAGTAAATTTAATGGATTTACAATAGTCCGCCGAAAAGGTACATTGTATACTACTTTGACTTGTTGGAAAAAACAACTCAAATATAAATGAAATAATAACAAAAAAGTATGAAGTTAAATTTTATAGCAACAAATTTTTATGTAGCACCATAACTGGATGTGTTGTCTTTTTGGAATACTGAATCCTGAACTGACTAGTTTTTATTTTTTGTTATTGATGGTAACATCTCGTTTGCATTTTTTATTATTTTAAATAGAAGCTATTTTCAAACGTATTTATTTTAAGTTTTTATTGTTGAACATAGCTTGAGAATATTTTTCGAGTTTAAATTAAATGTATTTTTATTTATTTTCTTGACTATTTTTTTACGATATATTATTTGTGGCAAACAAATTAAAAATATATATGTGTTAATATAATATATAAGTTATTATAATAAGATTTAAATAAAGCTAATGTAATTTAAAAAAATAACTAATTACTCCAGTGAGTTATCAATACCCATTATCTAGTTTAGGCTAAGGCAGGTTCATAGTCCAACATTTTTTGGGTCTTCTTATGTTATTTCTAAAAATGCAGTATAAAAACGTGATAATATTCACCTGTATGGTAAATATTTATCATAATCATTATTATATCTCGAACTACATGGTTATTCATAATTCGAACCGGTTCAGCACACTATTAATTTATTAATGAGAATAATATTTAAATTATCATATGAAATATTTAAATACTACCATATATATATATATATATATATATATATATATATATGATGTATCAATTTTTTTATAGCAAAAACGTCAAATTTTCCGCGAGCAAGTTCAACCACATTCCGGAGGAAGAATTCCTACTTCTGCATTTCGTGCAGACAGACTTGCTCTGAACCAGCTCAATAAACAAGGAATCACTATTCCTGATGGCATTTTACTAGAACATAGAAGTCACGAGGTAAAACCATTCCTAATGTTATATTATGAATCATCGTGATGAATGCAATTTATTTATTAGAACAAATGAGAATATTGATTCAATATGTATGGTCACTCTATAGCCCTTGTGATATCAAAAAACTGTGGAATGTGTTTTTTATTTTCACTGTTCGAACTTGGCAAAATGATGAAATTATATAATTGGCGTAATGATCGAAAGATCCACAGCCATGTAAAATAAACAAATAAAATAAAAACTTGGCAAAATGACTCGACTACACTAAATAAAAGTCTGCTTGAAAAATAGTTAAATATATTTATTTCTCTAACATGGTAAAACATGGTTAATATTAAAATTCTATTGAAAAACATTATTAGATTTGAAATCCATCATCGTGAAAACTTCTCAAAACACGCTAAACCTAAATTGGGACAAATGAGACTATTTCTTATGATTTATGGTCACTCTATAGTCCTAGTGACATCAAATAGGTAATAAAAATCTGTGGAATGTGCTTTCTATTTTCACAATTTGAACTTGTCCAAATTACTTGGACACACCTTACTTAATGCCTGCTTGAAAAATAGTAAGATATATTTAATACTTGTATTGTATATAGGGAATCAACATAAAAATACTCGTATGAATTTATTTTTGAAATTGCATATTAAAAAATATTAGTAGTTTGTTGAGTGATCGATATTAGCCATAGATTTTTTTGAATATTGCAGAATTTTTACTCGTCTCTTATTTGTTCAATTTTATTATCTAATATAATTTATTTTTACTCGTCTTTTATTAGTTCAATTTTATTTTCTAATATAATCTATATTTAACTTCCCATATAATAAGAAGCCGTTCATTAATCACGTGAGGTTTTTATGGAGAGGGGAGGTTTGACGAAAAATCACGAAATATCACGTGACGGAGGAGGTATAATAATTGATTGAATGATTTTTTTTAAAAAAAATCCAAACATTTTCAAAAAATTACAGTTTTTTCTCGTAACGGAAAAAACACGTGATGTTTGGTGGCGGAGGGGGTAATTTTGAATATCATCACCCATCACCAAGAAGAAGGGGAGTCCAAAAATTCTTAAAAAATCTATAACGTGATTAATGGACGTCCCCTAAGTTATAGTAATAATGATAACAAATGGTAGTCTGCCCGAAGGCAGGTCCATGGTGTGAGAGTACTACAAATCAATGACTCCCTTTTCCTCTCTTGTTTATTATTCCACTTATCATTTTATTAACATTATTCACTATTTTTGATACATTTTTACACATTTTTCTTCCCAAATCTACGCTTCCATGCTTCCTGGTCCTGTGCTTCGGCTTTCAGTTCCCTGTATTTTCTCTTCCAGCGTTAATCATCAATCATCTGCATTCTTCATCTTACCAGCCCTTTTCAGTCTTTCTATTTTACCTTCGACGACATCGTGCAGGAGGCACTCTTTTTGCAAACTGGGTCCAATCCAGTTTCCTTTTTATTTAGTGATTCTATCTAGAATTCATTTTTTCACTCTTCTCAGCACTTCTTCATTAGTTATCTTAATATTTAATGTTATAATAAAAAAAAATGAAATGTTTAGCTTATCTTCACATTTCAAGGCCTTCTGAACATTTTGCATCGGAGAAAAAATGGGTTTATGTTTGTGTGTGTGTGTGTGTGTATGTATGTATGAATGTGCGTATACAACTTTTCGTCGACGATATCGAGAGTACGTTATGACTATTTATAATTTTTAATTTACTGGTAATTTTTATTTATCTCCGCATTATTTTGAATTCATCCTCACAAACTTTGTTATCATTTATGATCAAGGTATAATGCCTTTGCAACATGTATGTATCTGTATATCATATGGCATTGAAAGATGTACTAAATTATCTACTAAATCAATAATAAATTTCTCCTTCAGGCTTTCCCGTATCAAAGTCGACAAAGAAGCGTCAAAGTAATAAAAGTGTTCCAAGCAATCGATGGCCGTTACGTGCCTTTTTATGGAAGAGAACTGAATCACTTCCCGCAGACCGTGGACACGACTTATGTAATAAGGGAACCTCATCGACCGCAACAATATAGGTTTGATATTTTGTAATAGATGCTATTTTTTAATTTTATTTTTTTAAACGGTTTAACCAGTTATTATGCAGTGGCCTTGCATCAACTAGTTCCGTGTTCGATTCCAACCTCGGCCAACTCGATATCAAGCAGTATGATATCAAATTTTCACTTGAGGTTATATATCTTAAGTGAGGTATATGATCACAAGTGTAAATAGGATTTGGTGGGCATTGCTGCAACATATATATGCCATCACTCTTAGAGTTATACGTATTCAGCTTTCAGTTCCCTGTATTTTCCTTCTTGCGTAGATCATTAATCATATGTATTCTTCATCTTTGCAATTCTTTCAGTCCTTCTTTTTACCATCGTAAAACAATGTCTAAACATAGAAATACGAGTTCAAGATACATAAACTAATAAAAACATTGTTCTGATTGCTGTTAAAATATATACAAAAAAGTTAAAAAAGACATAAATATAAAAAAAGCAAATATGATGATGAAAGGATTATTTAGTAACTCTATCCACATCTCTGTGTACTTGTTAGATTTATACTTAAAAATCGAGAAAAATTAATAAAAACACAAAAATGACACGATTTTTGCTAATATTTTTGCATTTGACTCATAAACACTTCAAATGTTTCTGTTTTGCTCATTGAATAAAAAAACACTTGAACCGGCATTAAGTAAAATGCTTTAGCACATATTGTTTTTTTTTGGTCTTTATTTTTTTACTCGTTTTGTTTAGAATGAAACCAACAAGTATTGTACAAATTTTTGCAATCTTGATTAAAATGCGAACTTTCAACGCAATTTGTCAAGGCACTTTAGTACGTTTTATAAAGTCGACCAATTTTGAAAAAAAATAAATTCATAATTCAACTAATAGTCTTATTTCTAAAAATTAAGAAGTGCAATTGTGTCGTTATTTTTGACTATGGTCCTAAAAAGTGTTATTTGCGATTTCAAAGTTCAAATAAACAGAATTAATAAAAATTAACCACAATAACCAATAAATGGTTACAATTTGCCAAGGCTCTAGGTTGTACTTGAAGGCGCGTAATTTTGAAACTGCATGGGATAATATTTTCTAAAATTTTTTAATGATAGTTACAATCAATACTATTACCCCGTTTCTGCTTGACATCGAGTTCTGGGATACCCTGTATAATAACAATAATGCCAAAGGCAGGTGCATGGTGAGCACCACAATTCTATAATTTTCTTCACTTCTATTGTTTATTATATTTATTTATTGTTCATAATTATTCCCATTGATATTTTATTTTCATTAAATTCTTTTTTATTCACTTTTATGCTTTTTTTCAAAATTTCTGCTACCATTCTTCCTTGCTTATGCTTTCAGTTCCCTGTATTTTCCTTTATGACGATATATATATATATTATTGCTATTATTATTATTATTATTATTATTTTTATTATTATTATTGGAGTTCTTCCCGTAGTCAGATTCATGGTGTAAGAGGTCTGCAATTTTTACTTAATTTCACTGATTTCTCTATTTTTCTTCTCTATAAACGTGTTCGGTGACTAACAATAAGGCTTTATATAAAAGAAATTAATGGCTATGAAGAAAGAAAATATTATATATTGCCTTTAATTGCGTTTCATTGATAATAATTCATAAGAAATTTAATCGGATCTTATCATGCTTCAAATCAATGTATGTTGTATCTACAAGTGTATATCAGTAATTCAAATGATAACTCTGTTGTATATTTCAAGCATTTGTTATAAAATCTACAATGTTTTTATAAATATTGCCCGATTGTTTTCACACTCATTACTGATTATCTTTTATGAAATAGAGTCGAGGTCAGTAACGACGTTACAATCTGGTTAAAAATATAAATGATTGAATTTTATGCAATCCAACTATTTAAATTATTTGAACAAAAGTTTTTATCATTTGATATGACTCACTTTTCAAACCGCGATAAATTACACTATTATCCACAATAGACCCAGCAATTTTTCGTATAATTACAGAAGTTTTTTTTAAGAATTGTTTTGTAAAAATATGGTTTTACCTCAATTTAAAAACAATAGTATTTTACGAGACCTTGCGTTGGCACTGCGCTAAGAAGCATTGCAACCACAAATATAACCTCGAACGTTCTATTTCCTGACAACCTGATATCTAGCAGCAGTGATATCAGTTTTCACTTGAAAATATAGATATAAATCTGATTTAACGTAAAAATATAGTTTTACGGGGGATTGTTGAATATTTATATCTTTACTTATATCTTATGTCTAATAATATCTTATCACCAAGAAAGAAAAGACAACCTCTAGGTTGCCTTCTAATAGCACTTCAAGGAAGTAACATCACAATAGCTCATAAAACACGTCAAATCTGATTACTAAAAAAGAAAATTAAAAATATAGTAATAATATTTTGCTTGTCGCTGACTGTATTATCTTTGTAAACCACAAAATGTGTAATTTTATTCATTATTATCAGCAATAGAATGAATCAAATGACCGTGAATATAATTTAACTAAAGTGGTTCCTTTTAATAAAATGTCGTCAGAAGTGTGAACATTCATGTTCTGAATGAACATTGATGATATATTTTTAACTTTCCGTAAGATAAAGTTATGAAAATAAATTTTTTTGTATATTAACCTTTCAAAGTATTCTGAACATTTTAGCACACAAGTAGCCAGATAAACAGAAATATAGAAAAATAGTAGAGTGAGCAGGTAGATAGATAGAAAGATATACAGATCAACAGGTATGCTGATACGGAAATAGACTGATAGAGCGTAGATTGGTATATTTGTAGATAGGTAGACAGGTAGACAAGTAGACAAGTAGACAAGTAGACTCATGGCCAGATTAAAAGTGAACAAGTAGAAAAGTAAACATGTACAAAAGTAAATACTTCTGTAGGCAATCATGTACAAGTAGACAGGTGGTTCATGTTGAATCGATTATTTACAGATATCAGGAAGTTCATGCAATTTGCCTTAAGGTAGAATGCCATTAGCAACTAGTTTCAAATATAATTATTTAGCGAACGCAATTGGCCACACATAACTATGCTACACACAACCAGAAAAAAATATGTCATAAATAGCAAAGAAAAAATCATGGGTTCCCTTCCAAAACAGCCATTTTTTCAATGTAACAAAATAGTTACTAAATGTGTTGATAATAAACAGTGGGGCGCATGGCATCGTGCCTTAAGGCGAATTGCTGGAACTTTCCGTACCCAAAATTATTTTTTTATAAAAAAAGATTAACATTTTTGAAAAAAAATTTCTCTGAAAAATTAGATTTTTGAGAAACTATAAACTTTTGACAAAAATTTACTTTTTTTTAAAAAGAAGACTTTATGAAGAAAAGTGTATTTTGAAATATTTTGGAAATTCTGAACTTTTTTTCAAAGCAATCGTACTGCTTTAACTGCATAGAGACGAAATTTCGAAGCGCGTAAGCGCCGCGCCGCCGTCTAACGATAAGCATTGGTACGGAACCCACAGGAATTTAAACAAAATTTATACTTATTGTTAAAATCTCTATAAAATATCTGGTAATTTGATGTGCATATGTCTAATGATTTTTATGAAAATTTACTTCATGAAAATTTGATCAGTTCTTCATCTTGTTAATACAAGTAAAATGTTTTTTGAATTATTCAAATCGCTTCATCCGTGTTCCCGAAATCGTCGACGAAAATTTGTATCCGAACACATATACACACATACACACACACATACATTCATTTTTTCTAAGGTATGCCAAAATATTCAGAAACCTCTGAAACGTAAAGATATATAAAAAAATTTTTGCGATTACTATAACTTACCCTACGGGAAGTTAAAAAAAATGTAAAAACTTTATCTATTTTAATTTTTGCATATTTTATCACTAGGCCATCACTGCTCTTCCCTACATTAATAGAACCGCATTCGCACACTTCTATCTTTTCGTCGAACTTCAGACACCAGCCAAAATCTTTGGATGCATGGTTGCACGAAGACAAACTGATCCTGGATGATATTGATCATCTGTGGCTGCCAACTTTGGATCCGGTAATTTCTCCATTTCTTTATTTTAATACCATATATGTTTTGTTAGTTTCTACATTATATCATACGTTTCGAGTCTCAGTTTGATTTTTTTCTATAGATAAAATAAAGAAATTATTTTGAGAATACTAAAACCAGTTTACAAACTTTTGGTCAGAATAGACGTTATTCATTTATTAAATTTTATTTATTTTTCTCGAATTATTTTTTTTTTTCAGTAACATGACTGTTATTCAAGTTCCTTTTCATTTTTGGGTGTTATTGGTATCAGTTTGAAAAATTAATTAATATTGATAATTAATTATATTTGCAGATAATATTAAATTATCCAGCACTATTCAGCGATTGGACAAAAGAGAGCAAGAAACAATTTCCTGTTGTTTTTCAAAATAAATTTGGTTAATAAAATATATATTACTGTGAAAAGTGTGTTCATTTATATGTATTTGCATCCTATTTTGTTATAGTATTAAATTAATTATAGCTATTTTTACGTGTTTAAAAATGTATTTTATTAGATGTTCTCTCATGCCTTGTATGATATTTGTTAGTTATAAATATATTGATACATGTATAATGTTTTCGGTCGCAAATACTTTACAAGATTTTTTTTCTCTTATTTTTTATCGTTAATTTTTTTTCATTTTCTTTAAATCCTGTACTAATATCTAATACACGACAATTTTTTAAGTCTAAATCATTTCTTTTATTTGTGTATAAAACTCGACCGGGATTCGATCGGAGTACGCTTGTAGTGCGAGTCGAGCTTTTGCTAAGCTTGAATTTGGGAATGTTAAATTATAAATTAATTTAATAAATATCGAAACTATGAAAAGCAAATCGTCGATATTTGAATTGAATCAATTTAGTAAATAAACTCAACGATTTGTACATTTTTCACTCTGAGTTTCATTATCGGCGCAAAAACATGTGTTAAATAATCAAGTTTGATATAATGCAATGATAAAGTATAGTTGTTGGCCGAATAATTTTATAAGTAATATGAAAAGTACATATATTTTGTATAAAGTGATCAGAATGAATAGTATATGCTTAACATTACTTAGCTGTAAAACTAGCTGTAAGTGGCATTTTGCCTTCAGTTACATGAAGTTTCCGATATGTATATGTGATTATAAAATATTTACTTCATTTTGAAAATAAAGTTTATTATTTCACTCTGCATGAATTTTCATAATTAAATATTAAAAAAAAAAATAATATATAATTAGAAAGAAACGGCTCGGCTGCTCTTTAACCCAGCTGATCTTTCGACCAGTTTTTTGATTTCCAAAACCGGTTCCGGATTTTTGGCGAAAACGTTGACGAGAAATTTTGTACGTATCTACTAATTAGAAAGAAAGTAAATTTTTCAATTTAGACACGAGTCCGTATTATTATTAATATTATTATTTTTAATTATTATTTATTTATTTATTTAACCTTTTTTCCCATTCTTTTTCTTTTGTTTTGATTTTCAATGTCCTCACTTTCGCCTTATAGACTACGATGTTATCTAGTTATTGAAGCTTGGAGTGGATAAAAAACAATTAAAATCGGTCTAGCTGTTTTTGGGAAGAAGTCGAGAGTTCAAATATTATCTTACATACACATTCACAATCGTATACATTTTCAATTTTGGTGCCAAACGATTCAGATTGACTTCAAACGTCCAAATAAAAAAATTCCAAATCGGAATCGGATGTTCTGGTGAAAACCCTTCGGGAAATTAATAAAATACAATAAATGTTTCAATGTAAAAATTTGTTTCAAATAATTAATTTATAAATATTATATTTACACGTTTATCAATGTGCACGTTATGAAAAATTAACGCGTATAACGGTCTTCAATAAATGCAAATTTATGTTTATATTCATATTATATGTAATGCATTACAATAATTAACCACTGGTGCCTTAAGGCAAATTGCTGGAACTTACCGTAGCGTAGTTTGTAAGTTTTTAAGATTTTTGAAAACACTTGAAAATTACATTTTTAAGAATTTTTGAAAAAGAACGACTTTTTGAAGAATTTTTTTTTTGAAAAACTTTGAATTTTTTTAAAAAAATCGACTTTTCTGAAAATTTTTAAATCCGTACAAGTCAGTTGATCTATGCTGCCAAAAATGTTGAGGACAATTGTTTGAACAATATAAGTAAACTTTAAACTTTATAAATCTTGGTACACAATCTATAAAAATGGAACCAAATATTGTATTTGTAATTAAAATTTCTATGAAATATTTGATAATTTTATGTGCATATGTCTAATATACATACGTAAAGATATGCAAAAATATTTATTTTCCATTTTTTTGCAATTACTCTATACGGAAAGTTTATAAAAATAAAATAAAAGTTTTAAAGATTTTTGAAAAATTTTAAAAATTAGATTTTTCAGAATTTTTGAAAAAAAAAACCTTTTTATAATTTTTTTTACTTATTAATAAAATCTCTATAAAATATTAGATAACTTTGTGTGCATATGTCTAATACACTTATTACACATACATACACACACACGCACATTTTTTCTAAGGTTTTCCAAAATGTTCTGAAGACCTTAAAACGTAAGATGAGCAGAAAATTTTCATTTTCGATTTTTTTGCGATAACTATAATTTACCGCGTGAGAAAATAATAATAATACAATTATATAAAAAATATGAATTATTATTAGTATTATTAATAATAATTATTTATTATTATCAAAAGAAATTTATCTAACTGTATGAGTTTTAAAGATTCTTGAAAAACTTTAAAAATAAAATTTTTGAGAATTTTTGAAAAAAATGACTTTTGAAAAAAATTTTTTTTTAATTTTTCACTTATTAATAAAATATCAGATAACTTTGTGTGCTTATGTTTGATTTACTTACTACACATACACACACACACATCAGTTTTTTTTAAGGTATGCCAAAATGTTCTGAGGTCGTTAAAATGCAAGATATAACTTACTACATATACACACACAAAACTTTACATGTCTAATATGTAGTAAACACTTACACACACAAAACATGCCCATTTTTTCTAAGGTTAACCAAAATATTCTAAAGACCTTAAATAAAAGGTCTTTAGAACATTTTGGAAAACCTTAGAAAAAATGTTCGAAAATATTTGCATTTCTTTACGTTTAAACTTAAAGAAATGCAAATATTTTCTATTTTTTGCGATAACTATAATTTACTGCACGAAAAATTAATAAAAATAAAATTATACAGAAAATATGAATTATTATTAGTATTATTAATAATTATTTATTATTATCAGAAGAAATTTATCTAACTGTATAATGAAATTATGAACGGTCGCATATATTTGCCGGTGTAGACTCGGTCACACAGTGTGCTTTCGTTGTGTGCGCTGCATTTATTTAGCAATGGAAGTGTGGCTAGTAGGCATCACATAAATTGAAGTTTTTAGCAAATAAAATCACTTAAAATAATGAAATTAAATTAATCAACATAAAAGCAAATTTTAATCCATTCAAATTTATTTCACTTCTAACTCGTACTTTTTACGGATCTGGTTACAAAAAAATATGTCATTAATGTGTCATTTTATTTGCGCAATCCTAGGATGTAAATTGTAAATACATTTTTGCATCTCAACGAGCACCTCATATTGAGTAATTTTTGATAAACAATAATATGCCAAAGAAACATCTAAAATACTTTTTTCTGAATTTACTAGATAGTGGTTACTTTTCTATAAATAACTTTCACGCATAAACAATTCGTGAACACGTTTAATAATTTATATGGCAGGTTGAGTGAGCAAGTATTCTGTGCAGTGTACCTTTACAAGTGCTGTTAAATATGAATTGTCAATTTAATAATGGAAAAAAGGTTAATATACGTCAAAGGTCAGGTATATAAATTATACAAAATTGCAATTAATATCAAATGCTTGTGATTTGAATTTGAACCTCATGAGACATAAACTTTGTGTGCGGTGTGACAATTTTAAAGTGGTTGTAAACTCTGTTTTTATTTCTTTCTAAAGAATGCCGACAATGACTTAAACGTCGTTTATTTTTCAATTCGTTTTGAAGAAAATTCCCTGCCAAATATTTTAGAGGCGTTATCATACGCCCACAGTTGGCATTTTAACATGTGTACAGTTACAATTATTTAATCACAGTGAAGAATGAGTAAAACTAATTTAAACAAAATGTTAAGACTTATCAAAGAATTCAATAATATATTGTGATGATTAATTGTTAAATATTAGCAAATATTTTAATCAGTGATGTGTTGTGGTTTAGTTTCAATGTATATAGTAAAATACAACAAATATATATTAAATTTGATATAATGAGTACTGAGGATGAAGACGTGCTTCTAGCACGAGCAGCCGAGGAACGAGAAAGGATTTTTCTTAAATATGAAAGGGGACGAGAACCAGGAGCTGAGATCGACCCTTGGGAGGATCCGGGGTTTGAAGTCTATCATGCTATGGATAGGTAATAAGGAAAAGTTTGAAATACTTAGTAAGCAATAGATTTTTAATGAGTTTTGTAGCTTCTATTAACTTGACTGTTGAAGCCTCTAGTTTGTCTTGTCTGTGATTGTTATTAAATGCTCCCAATATAATTTGTGAATAATACAGCAAATGTACTGCAAACTCAGACAAATATGAATATTTGTGATCGAGGATATCTCAATTCCTTTGTGTCAATTTTCCATTACAATTAACCATTGTAAAAGTATAACTGATAAAATACTTGATAATTGTATGGTGTTCGATATTAGTATAATCTTTGTTAATATGAATAATAAAAGTTTCATTTCGATCGGTTTGTTATGACCATTTGTGAATTTTATTTATAAACTACTATGGATGTTATGACTATTCCTAAAAATTATTGTTATGGAATCAGTCGTTATCTCAGTCGAATTGAACATACATTTTGTAATTATTCTTTTATTGGCACTGAATTTATTATAAACTGCAACATATACCTCATGTAATACACTGCCACAAAAAGTTTAAATAATAATAATACAATGTATAAATTTTCCTGTATTGTTTATCATCTAATTAAACATATCCTACTTTATATTTTAACCAAGCCTATTTTTTAAAAAACTGATAATTTCTATTTTCATGTAACAATGAAACAACCCTTTTTTTTAAAGATATTTTTGGAACCATATTTTATTTACAAAATTGACCTATTTTTGTTTTTGTTTAGGTATGGATTTATACATGATAAAAGATTACCTAGAAAAGATGACCCAAATGAAGCTAAAAGTAAACAGGTATATATACATAATAATTATGTTTATTTTTATATTAAATGAAGATCTGAAATTTATGTATATATTTATATTTTTTAGTTATTATGTAGTTTGTGAATAATTTGGGTAGTGAATAATTGGATTTTCAACTTAAAATATATATATATATATATATATATATATATATATATATATATATATATTTGACAAATGTATTCTGAGTGGTTAGATATTAATTTAGAAATATGAAAAAACAGCACTCTTTTTTTGCACTAATTTATTAAATAATATTAATTTTACAAATGTTTCGAGACTAGGTTTGTCTCATCATCAGTGTATTATAATTTAAAATCTAAAATATGGAATTTCCATATTTCCATATTTTAGATTTTAAATTATAATACACTGATGATGAGACAAACCTAGTCTCGAAACGTTTTTAAAATTAATATTATGTAATAAATTAGTGCAAAAAAGAGTGCTATTTGTTCATATTTCTAAATTAATATAATATATATATATATATATATATATATATATATATAATATAAATATATATATATATATATATATATATATATAATATACATATATCTCAAAATTTGATAATTATTAATGTTCATAATTTTCAGATTGAAATGGAGCGTGTTAAGAAATGGGTTAAAATGCTTAATAAATGGGATAGTCCGGCAACGAAGGATAAATTACATAGGAGAATATATAAAGGCATTCCAAATTCGTTAAGAAGTCAGGTACATTTATCTACTTATTTATTTAAAAGCAGTAAAGTTTTATTGTTATAAGAAACATTAAAATGAACTGAAGATCTGAATAAATCAATCCTACATAATTTTGTCTCAAATAATTAATATTTATTTTTTATTTATTTAATTCTTAATACTTGAATATACAATCATGCTAATCAATAATTTATAATTATGTAAATATTTTATCAGTTCATATATTTCTAACCCAACCTTAGAGTTCTCAGTTGTTATCCACCGAAAATTCTTTTAAATTCAAATTTGAGGCTTCTACTGTGACAAGCATATTTTGTATGAAAAATTGATGAGTGTCTCTCAGATTAACTATGAATTTTAATAATTCTCTTGCTAAATTTCTAAATATGGCATTCAAGTTCCTAGTTTCAATCCATAAAGTTATGCCTTGATGTTCCAGTTCATTTTCTACTAAAATCTATTCTAGTTTTTTCTACATTTATTTACAGTCATCATTAAAACTAATATCATTCTTTTACTTACATATTTACATAATTTATTTTATTATAATAATAATTTAATTATTATAATAAATTAAAAGAATATATATTCATATTCTCTTTCCATAGTGATTATAATCAATAATTAATGATGAATATATCAAATGTGTAGGATAATAATTAAATTACACTTTTATTCTTTTATCATATTAATTTTTTTTCTTCCTAGGTATGGTGTAAACTACTTGATTTGGAAACTGTTAGAAAAAATCAGGAAGGTGTATATTCATCAATGTTGGCTGCTGCTCGTAAGTGGTCAACTGATGTGAGGCAAATTGACTCAGATGTAAATAGACAATTTAGGGATAATATTGCTTATCGTGACCGATATTGCTTGAAACAAAAAGAAATGTTCAATGTTCTAACAGCATATGGCATGTATAATATGGAGGTTAGTAATGTGGAAAAATATAATTCGATGAGCTGTGATTTTGAAGCTTATATGTATTATAAGATAGATTTAGATACTATTCATATATACTAAATAGGAGGGCATATATACTAAATGCTTTGAACATTTAAAATGTTTTTTTTTTAAGTGCAGAATTTATGCAGACTAGTCAAAATATGCAGTTACAACATAAAACAATAAAGATTAATTTTACTAATGTGTGATTAAAAAATTGTCTATTTTCCAGGTTGGTTATTGCCAAGGTATGTCTGGTGTTGCTGGAATGTTACTCATGTACATGGATGAAGAAGATGCATTTTGGGCATTATCTGTATTATTAACTGAAAAGAAATATGCCATGCACGGATTGTACATCGAAGGATTTCCAAAACTCAGTAGATTTCTAGAGCATCATGATAAGATATTAAATAAATTCATGCCTAAATTGAAAAAACATTTTGATATGTATGGATTAGATGCAATTTTATATTCGTTAAAGTGGTTCTTTGTTTGTTTTGTTGAAAGGGTAAGTGCTTTGGTAATAGTAATTTAAGTATAATACATTTTGTGTATTTTGAGTCTGGTTATTTTTAAGTAAGGTAGGTCCAATTTGACTTGGAGTAATTTCACTGTGGAAACCAAACCAACTACATCACAACAAATAACACATATCTAACAACTATTGAACTATGTTCAGTTAATTCATCATTGAACTATTTTTTTTAATATTTGTCATCTGGACCTTTCTACCATAAAAAGGTTACCACTATTTTATTTTTGATTTTGAGGAAGTTCTTTTTGATAATAGCTACATTACTTAATCAATGGGATGCAGTTTAATTATTGGGTTGAACAGCAAATTAAAAATTATAATCTCAATACAAAATATGTATTGTAAACATAATAAACAAAAATTTTCATGAACTTTTACTACTATGATAAATTTTTCTTTGGTATGTATTTCTAGTTATCATAACCAAACTCATTATTTCTTAAATACAATTATTACAAAAAAGATAATTACAACTTCTGTTGTAAAATATATACTTTCTGTGTGAAATATATATTTAATAGGTGCATATTTTTATAAAGATCGCACTGTATACAACTTTTGTATGGAACTTTGTTAGAAGAATTCATCATCAGAGTTGAAATAACTATTAATTTAATTTATGTCTTGTAAAATTGCATTTTCAACTCATCTTAAATTTTTATTTACTAGACCTTGATGGTAGGCTTTTTTGCCCGGGGACCTTTAAGCCTTATGCTATTAATCTACGAAATCATAACTTTGTCAATGAGATTTTATGAAAATGCTAATACTCAAATAAGTTTTTTCAATGCCTACAATTTATTTGTGCTCATATGTATCTACCTCAGATTTATATAATATTTTATATATACTAGTTTATACAATAATAATACGATTTATATAATATTTAATTCATCACATTAATATCTAAAGTATTTAAAGTGATAATATTGTAGTTTAACTAATCATGTAATCAATTTTTAACTTAGTATTTTTTTTAGGTGCCGTTTAGCTTATGTTTAAGAATTTGGGATATATATTTATTGGATGGAGAAAGAGCAATTACAGGGATGGCTTATACAATACTCAAAATGCATAGGAGGGCAATACTTAGGTTAACAGATATGGATCGAATAGTACAATATATTCAGGTAATATCTTCTGGTTTGATTGTTAAAAATTACTTGTGAATTTTCTATTTCATCTCCTACTTAGTAGAACACTGTTTGGATTTTTTTTTAACTCATCAGGTGCAGTTACATAAAGATTTTGGATATGATGATGATACTGTGATTACAATGCTAGAGCGAAATATGGAGGAATTAAAAAGAGCAAAATTAGACTTGCCTGATCCACCTCAGCCACATGAGCTGCCAAAAAGAAAATTTGGTGAAATTCGAGAGCAATCTTTTGAAAGAAAAGTAGGCAGAAGAACTCAAGAATTTACAGCAACTGAAAAAAGTGTGACTGAAGGGATTGTTCTGAGGTAAAGTTGTGAAAGTTTTACTTCTATGTATTACACTTATGGAATTAACTGCATTTTGCTATCATGAGACAATATCAAAAGCATTTGTATTTTTATTTTCATATTTATATTACTTATATTTAATTGATTTGTTTGATTTTGATTGATTACTTTATAATTTGATTTGTTTGTATTGAATATTTTATTTTTTATTTTCGCATTTTTAAGAATAAATGTTTATTTTTATGAAATTGCATTTTTCATTAATTGTATTTTTAGTGATTGTTACAACCACATCATTCTTTTCTTACAATTTATATTTTTTCTAAACTTTTAATGTGAAACCAGTTATAAAATTGTTAATTGCAACAATAATTGTATGCAGCTTTAATAATAATTTAACAGAGTTAACAGTTGTAAATAATGATTTTGCAAAATGTTGTTAAATTCCTATGTTGTTCGAAGTGATTATTTTAGATTTGTTTTAACTTTTTCATCCTTATTGTTATATTTAAATTTATTTGTTTGTTTGATTAATTTATGAATGGTGTATACTGTATTTATGAATTATTTTCAGGTAGTATTTTCCATAAATTTATTATTCAATTTTTTGATAACATATTTATTTAATGGGCATTTATTTATTAGCTTTTAATATTCTGAATATTTTAATTTCATTGAATTATTTTAAATACAGTTTATATATACCTTGCTATACTGTAATGTATGACAAAATGTTATTCATGATTTAGAATTATTTTTTTTATCTAATTCAAAGTATGATTGTTTCAAAGATTTCAGTAATCCTTTTAAGAAGATTCAATATATTTTAAATAATCTATTTAAGGGGCAATAGCTTGTAAATTTTAAAAGTAAAAGAAATTGTATTTAGTTTACTTCTTTTTAAAGAAATAGAGATATTTAAATTCATATTTGGGTTAGATGAACCCTTTCACTACAGGAGTGCTGTCCTTAAAAGTGACACTGCTTTATAAATCAGCAAGCCACCCAAGGAATTGTTAAACAAATTATTTTTAAGATTTTCTAATTGTTATCAATAAAAATTTATTTCAAAATTAGATGTTATACTTCTGATAAACTTAAAGCCACAATAACAAGTTCTAGCTATTTTGTTGTATCAAAAATATTCATGTTTGCTGTGTGATAATAATTTAAATATACATCTTATTTAAATGATTTTGCTTAATTTTTAATTTCTTTGTCTCTATTGTTGCTTGCAAAGAAAACTTCTTTCTTCAGTATGTTTTTTAATTAACCAAATTTCTGAATCATTTCATAAATTATAATTATATAAATTTTTTCTTTGCAGAAGGGAAAAGGCAGCCAGTGAAGCCCTGGAAGCCCGTATCTCGGCTGAGGTTCTTCCAGGCGATGGAACGGGTGTGCTGTCAGGTGAGACGATGACAATAGATAGTCTTACCTCAGAGTCCGAAAATTTTAGTAGGACCCGCTCTAATAGTGTCGGGGCCTCCACTCTTGGGGGCGCGTCCACGGTCTATAATTGCGGTTCGCGCGTTTCTAGTATTGCTAGTAGCATAAGCGACTGCGGGGTCGATGTCGAAATAACGCATTTATGATAGTTGAATTTTTAAATTTTTGATTCAAATTATCCTTGAATAATTGATATATAATATATTTTCATTTTGCACATGATCCATTTTAGCCCAATTACGTGTAGAGATGTATTTCATTCATTCTTCATGAATAAGAGATAATTTACAATATTGATGCTTTCACAATTAGAATTTAAATGGCATTTTCTTTGCATATTCTGAAATTGCATTTATATTACCTGTTAATCAAATATAATTCACTTTTGGGATTGCAATGTTGTAATTCAATTTTATTTAATCAATTTTTGTTATGATTAAGTACATTTTGATATTACAAAAATATTAATAAATTTTTAGATACAATACAAAATTTATTTATTTTTCGTAAATGTTTATAATTATATCGTTACTATTTTACAATGTTTTACTGAAAACGTTTTTATTCCGCATAATGTGATTGTTACTATTTATTACGTATTTCAGCATTATTCACTGATAATTTGAAACAAAAATCTAAAACGGACAACTTAGCAAGGTTTAACAAAATATAATTAATGATCAGTTTTCTTTATTTATTTAAATTCAAATGAATTTAAGATAATGAAAATATAACAAATACAAGAAAAATCTTTAATAGCTACAATATATCTTTGTATTTGTGTTGATAATAGTACTGTTTATGAAATTTGAGGTACTACAAAGTCGTGATTTTTTAATGCATTTTCGTAGATCAATTGATATATTATTTTGTGTATTATTAGATTTAATATAGTTTTGTATTTTTGTGATAATGTTTTGTCACCACTCTTTAGTTAACAGTACAATTTTTCAGTAGTAAATCACTGTCATCATTGATACTTTAAAAAAATGTGTTCTCATGTTATATATGAGAGATTTATTTTTTTGTTTCTTTCAGAATAATGTTAGTGTAGCATATTGATATATATTTTTTTATTACTAAATCATTTCATATGAAGTTATAGGCAAAAATGATTGTATTTATGAGTTTGAAAATGAAAACCATATTTTTTTTTTAAATTATCCACCACTCATTAGCCTTTTGACTCTTATTGTATTTCTGTATTTAATTTAAAGACATTTTCAAAATGTTATATTTTATATATATAATTTTTGATTTCTGAAGTTGTTATTGTAAAAATAACAATTTATTGTTTATTTTGACCTTATATTAAACATGATGAGATTGATTCATTAAAGCAAAAACCCTTAAAATATATACCGTACTCAGATTTAGATATTACCATTCTGTTACATTTATGATCACTTGTATATATTCATATTTATACAATAATTTTAAGAATTCTTATATGAATGTGTTAATATTATCTCATGTAATTTTCTATACAAATTTTATTTTTATATTTATATACTATCATTAAATTAGATCTCTCAAATCATTATTTTTTATTTTCATACATTCTATTCCTTTTATTTATGAAAACATTTTTATACATTTTTTTAAATCTATTCATATGGTCGTTTGGATCATTTGTCATGACTATGCAATTAATTTTCCTATAAAAGCATGATTTATAGATGCACCTATCACTTCTATCAATTTAAGGCGTTTTAACTCACTCTCAACAAATAAAATTATATGAGCGAGAGCTTGTTTGAGGCATAATTCAAATACTTAAAATAATCAATATTTCAAATGGTTTATATATATTATCATTTGAATCGTTTTTCTAGTCGATTCCAATATTTTACTTTTAACGAAATTTAATAAACAAAGCTCATTTTTAACGTTTTGCAAGCTTTCGCTTTATCATGGTGCCAGGTAAAAAAAATTGAAATTTTGTTAAATTAATTCACAACATAAATAATCAATAATTTAAACAAGTAACTAATAACAGGTGTAGAATGTTTTTTCGTAGCATTCGTACATACGAGAGTAGCATCATCTGATTGATCAATTGATGCAAACAAATTGTCCGAATCCAAATATGAGGAAAAAAAATAATTTACATATTCGAATTGAAATAGAATACTCTTGAATAAATTTATACTTATGAGATATTACCTACTGAATATATTTGTACCTTAAACATATTACTTACTACGTTACTCTGATAAAATTCTTTTATATAAGAAACATGGGCACTTTGAGATATCGGATGATGTTGTTTTGATCTGTTATTAACAAAAAATTAAACGTTTTTCTGTGTTCTCGATAGTATTATAATATATGTTCATATCCCAAATAATTATTTATATATGTTCTTTTGTACTCAACAAAACAACATGCATTTATGTGAAATTTTAAGTTTTAAATATGAAAAGAATAATATATTTTAACTTTCTTAATAAAAAAGTCACACCGAAATTCGATTATTATTTTAGTTCTACCGCGCGTCGAGTAATCAAAATATTGAAGATATTTGGGGTACGTTTGCTCTAATTTGTATACTGTATGTTTTTTTTTCACAAGCTCGCTTTTTTTTTTCAATGGTATAATTATTGTGCACTTTGACAATTATTTTACGTAATATGATTGTAATTTTGTTATTTATTTTGAGCAAAGTTGTGTTTATTTAGTTTGTTAATAATTTCGACCTCGCGCATGAATTTTTAGTTATCCAGCAATATTTTAGCTCTAAGGGGGGGTGACTTTTTGACGGAGAAGTTTGTTTTTGCCAGAAAATCTGATTTGCTATTATTTTCAATGTTTCAAGTAATTCTGAATCGTACCAAAATTGGAAAAAGTATGCGTGATCGTATGGGATCCATAAATGGACTTTTTATCGACGTTTTCTCAAAAACGTATGCACCGATTCCAACAATTTAAAAGCCATTTGATGGCATTCAGTGAGGACTCTCGTTGATTAGCTGACCTCTAATTTTTTTTTATAATTAGCAGTTAAGTACAATTTTCTAGTGTCAACCTTTTTGCCAAAAATTTTGAACCGATTTGGGAAAATCAAAAGCTTCTTGAAAGGAAAAGGAATCGTGCTCTAGTTTTTTGGTAAAGTCGGACCGTTTCTTCCTAATAAAATGATTATTTTTTTACGATTTTACGATTCAATGAATCTTTGAATGAAATTTTAAATGTTAGTATTTATACATATGGGAGAAAGTTCGTGCAACTTTTCTTAAGGCGAAATGCCACTTACATCTAGTTCATTTCATTATTATAAAAGCGAAGCGTTATGAGGTCGAATTAATTTTGAAGTAGATATTTTTTATCTATTTTGAATAGATTAGTTAGAATATTTAATTGTTCACTTTTTATTTTAAATTTTATTGTACATTCAGTTACATACTTAAATTTATATTAGATGTATTGAAAACGATCATATTTATTTAGATTCATTAGAAACTTTGATATTTAGTAGCTTACTAAACGTAGTTTCAGTTTCCTGTTAGATTCAACATAAAACAATTTCAAAGTTTTTTATTGCGTATTTTTATATACAGCAGAACCCCGTTAAGACAAGTAGGCTTGACTCGCATAATACGCTACTTTACGCCGGTGTATAAGACATGGTGCATAAGACATGTTTCTGGTTCCTGGGAAATCGTCATAACGGGTTTTCACTGTATTTGTATCGCAAAGTAACCAGAGTAAAAGAAGCGATAAGTTATTAATTGTTGATGTTAAACCATTAATTCTTGATGCTAAACCATTAATTGTTGATGCTTTATATATTAGTAATTACGTGATCAAATGTTTTCTTAATGCTATTTGAATTTACAGTAAATACATCTGAAAAGCTTTTATACATTCCTGATGTTTAAGAATGTTTCATTTATTGAAACATATAAAGACGTTAATGAGGAACTTGCATGTATTCATAAAAAATACTTGCTTATTGTTAGAAAATTATGATTTTATACACTTCAAATCAATTAAACTTTCTTATTGAATATATTTTATTATATAAATAGATAATATGTAGAGTTGTTTTAAACTGGAACCCATGCAAGTTTTTCCTTATTTCGTAATGGATTTTCTAATTTCTAAAATATTCATCACAGAACGTAAACGTGTACGAAGAGAATACAAATCCTTACCCAGAACCTTTCATCCTTCAGTCTTGCGAGAATATCACGACAGATCACGATTCGAAAATTTGGACAGAAAATACAATTACGATTTTGAAATGAAGATGTCGAACCAAGAAAATTCTTACTCTAAAATCATCACGACTAGATTTTCGTGTGGAAACCCGCAGATTTCCAATTCAAAACAGAATAAACGTGGTTTTTATGTCTGATTGATATGGATTATCAGATGAATTTTTAATGGTATCATTTCACGCAGACACAATACGCAACATTTTTTTTATAAAGTTATATGTGCTTCATTTTTGTATTTAATTAAATATAATTGTGTTAATTCAGTATTTTTTTGACTATTAAGTTAAACGTGCAATTTTACCTTGAAATTTACAAACCATATTTGAATTGTCGTCCCCGTTGAGTTCTGGGAACCCTTGTAAAACACATATTTCTACCAGTTTTTTTTCTTTTACTTCTTTTATCGTTACCTGGTTACATCGTTAATTACATAATATGTATTTCTTTTGTCATTCAAATATATCTTTTTAGCTGGAACTCATTTTTTTAAGTTGCGATTTGGTTCATAGTTCAGTAGTTAAAGCTATTATTTAAAAAAAAATTGATAAAAAGAATTATATGTTTTTAGATTACTTGAGATTAGGAATCACGCCAGTGCAGAAGTTCTGTACATTAAGTAGCTTATGTATTATAAAATTATTACCCATTAGTTGTGTAAAAAACTAATTTTTAATGAGGAATTTTGATTTAGATCTTTCACGTAGAGCATTTATAACGGAATCTAGGCTTTTTAATTATGAGGGACAGCACATTTTATTAAATTTTTTGAACATGCAAATTTGTTGCTCTTTTATAACGGTCCTTCTCTGTATGTGATGCTCCGTTATCTGCACAAAAATTAATAACAATTATCATTATATTTTAACCTTATTGCACTTTAAAATTATAGTTTTCTTTTTTTTACTTGAAATGTGGTTACTAACTGGTTCTGTGTTAACAGCAAAGTGATTCAACAGTTATAAGTTGGTGTTTGTTTTATTCATATTATATATCGGTGGTAAATATTGGCTTGCATGCGGTAGGTTCAAGGTTTTTATTATTTTTTTATTACTTTGATTTTTGCTATTACACTTTGCTTATCATTACATATCTATGCAAATATGAAATATTTTCATCGGACGAGGCGTTTTGCCATTCTTTATTTTTAGGGCAAGGAGGTGGAGATATTGAAGAAAGTGGATCACTATTGGGATGTTCCAGGCATTCTCTTGCTGATACCAGCGTCACGAGTACGGCTGATTTGTCAGTACTGTCGGCAGCCAGGTCGCAGGCATTGGACAACAGCCTGGACACGCATAGTTATAATTCGGAAGGCAGCCTGAGTCAGGGGTAAGTTTTTCTCAAGCATAGTTTAGAATGCCGGTTATATGCGATGCAAGTAAGGAATTATATATGTACAAATGCACTTTTCCGGTATATAGTATATTATTCCGTGATAGTTTGGTGACATTTTGGTCGCAAAATAAGAAAGCGCATGATTCACAACCCCATTTAGTTCAGTTCGGTCTTATTGTTGGCTTAAGGGGTTAGGGGTACTTGAAGGTACGGAAAAATGAGAATTTTCAGTATTGTTTTTTTGTTATTAAACGATGTTTTATTACAAAAATATTAATACGGCATCATTATACAATGTTTTAACTTGAAGTAACAAAAATTTCAGAAAAAAAAATTAATATTCGCAAAGTTATAGATATAGCTGTTTTTGTTGACTCTGTTTCAAAAAACGGTCCTGGCGGTGACCATCATAACTCCTTAGAGATTCATCTAAAATCAATCAAATAAAAAAAAAATAGTTTTATAAATAGATAATCCTGGGCCTGATCGAAGGTTTTCTTTTTTTTCAAAAATTAACAAAATGGCAGCATCAGAAATAAAATTTCTAGGTTTTTGGGTAAAAAATCAACAGTTAATTGGTCTTAAAAAAATTGAAATTTTTGAAAAAATAAAAATCATTCGATCAGGCCCGAGTTTATTATGTATTCTAAAAGCTGTATAAATTTCATTATAATTACTAAGCGGTTTTTGAGTTACAGTGGTCACCGGTTCAAAAAACATAGTT